GGCTAATTTTTTCTATATATATTTTTAATTGTCCAGCTAATTTCTTTCTATTTTTAGTAGGGACTGTGTCTTGCTCTTGCTCAGGCTGGCCTCGAACTCCTGACCTCTAATGATCCTCCTGCCTTGGCCTCCCAGAGTGCTGGGATCACAGGCATGAGCCACTGTGCGTGGCCTATATACTTTATTTTAATATGCTACTATATACTTTTCATATAATGTTTTCTAAGTACGGTAATTTCATCACCTCTTCCTGTTGTAAATTATCAAACTGAAGTCAAAGTAATAGCTGTTGGTTTCTCCAGAAAACAACCCAACCAGAAAACACTACTTTCTTACAATGTATCACCACAAAGAATGTATTTAAAAGTCATGTATTTGTAAAATATCATGGCATTTACTGGCTTTGAACAAATTTAAAAGATCACCCCCCAAATGTAGAAATCGTGAGAAATAAGGCGGGCTCGGTGGCTCGTTCCTGTAATCCCAGCATTCTGGGAGGCCAAGGTGGAAGATTGCACGAGCTCTGGTGTTCGAGACCAGCCTGGACAACATAGCGAGACCCCCGTCTCTACAAAAAAATTTTTAATAATTAGCCAGGCACCATGGTGCATGCCTGTAGTCCCAGCTACACCTGTCATCCCAGCTACTCCTGTCGTCCCAGCTACTCCTATAATCCCAGCTACTCCTATAGTCCCAGCTACTCCTGTCATCCCAGCTACTCCTATAGTCCCAGCTACTCCTGTCGTCCCAGCTACTCCTATAATCCCAGCTACTCCTATAGTCCCAGCTACTCCTGTCATCCCAGCTACTCCTGTAGTCCCAGCTACCCGGGAGGCCAAGGCAGGAGGATCGCTTGAGCCCAGGAGTCTGAGGCTGCTGTGAGCTGTTATAACGCTATGGCACTCTAGCCCAGGCGACAGAGTGAGACTCTGTCTCAAAAAAAAATCAAAATAAATAAAATGGTTAAAATGATCAATTCTACGTTATTTATATTTTACCACAATAAAAGCAAGCAAAAACGTAATACATTCAGCACCAAAAAAAGAAAAAAAGGAATGAATTTCTGATCCATGGCGTAGCATGGACGAATCTTAAAAACATTTGTAAGTGAAATCTGCGAGACACAAAAAGACCAACGCTGTATGATCCCGTTTGTAGGAAAAACCTGTAATAAACAAGCAAATTCATAAAGACAGAAGGTAGATCAGAGGTTAGCAGGAGCTGAGGCAGGTGAACGGGGAGCTATATTGCTTCATGGGTGTAGACTTTCTTTTTGGAGTGGTGGGAAAGTTCTGGAAATAGATCCTGGCTATAGTTGCACAATAATGTGAATTGCACAGTTAAAAATGGTTAAAAGTGGCAAATTTTATGTTATGTATAGTTGACCATCAAAACTGAAAAGGAAGAGAAAGCAGGCCCCATCGGGGGCTTTGCAGCTTTGCAGAACTAAACCTTCAGGGCTCTGGGACTGGCGGGTGGGTCCCCCTAGTGCTGGCTCTGTCCCCCTCCGCAGACTGAGTTCCCACTGGTCACGAGCTCAGATCTTTCTTGTGCTGGCCCAGGTCCATGAAGCCTTCTCCAGGTCTCTGGCTGCTGAGTGTCTGTCTGTCTGTCTCCTGTGAGTAACCGAGCACTGGTCCACGCCCAGGGCCCCACCCTGACCCTCCCAGCCCTGGCCTCT